TACATAAAATGTAAAAAAAATATTACATGAAAAAAAAGAAAAGAAAAATAACAAAACAATTAAATAAAATGAGTAACAAGGGAAATGTACTTATAAATAAAGTTAAATAAATAAAATAATAATAATTAAAACGTAAATGTAAGAGACCAAATCAAAAGTAAAAAAGATACTACCTTTTATTTATTTTTCGAATCGTTTACAATAGCTTTGCCTTTGTATCTTCTTGTGCTTTCCTCTATGTTTTGTGTGTAAATCGTGTCTTACAATGGTGAGTTACAATGGCTATTTATAGTGCTTGTGGATCCTATCTTTAGGAGTTTAAATCATAAAATTCTATCATATTTTTTGAATCCTAGCAAAATTCTATCATATCTTTAGGAGTTTGAATCCTAAAATTCTATCATATTTTTAGGAGTTTGAATCCTAGTAGGACGAAAAATGTGTGTTGACAACAACAAAAAAGACGACGTCGAGGATCTCCGTTTCCTCGAAGAGACGGAAGGCAAAAGCGACGTCAGTTCTCCCCACTCTCACTTCAACGAGGAAGACGAGGGCGATCAATACGGAGACTTAGACGATGATGACTTCGGGAACGTCCATGATTTCGACGACTCCGATTCGGATCCGTACAAGGAACCCGAAGTCGATGACAAAGACGTCGTCGTTTTAAAGCAAGGGAACTTCAGTGATTTCATTGAGAATAACAAGTTCGTGATGGTTGAATTCTACGCGCCTTGGTGCGGGCACTGCCAGGCTTTGGCTCCCGACTACGCTGCGGCGGCGACGGAGTTGAAAGGGGAGCGAGTGGTGTTGGCCAAGGTTGATGCCACGGAGGAGAATGAGCTGGCTCAAGAGTACGACGTGCAGGGTTTCCCCACTGTTTATTTCTTTGTTGATGGGGAGCATAAGCCGTATCCTGGTGCTAGAAACAAGTTAGTTTTGAACATAAAAATAAAGGATCTAGGATAACGAATTTTCGAATATCTACTGTATTTGCAATTTGATTTTGGTTAAATCATGGTAAAATATGTACCAATTAGAATTTAACTGTGTTTAATGGAAGACTTTGTTTTCTTACTTTAAATGGTAGAGACTAATGATTTAATCATGGGAAATTCAGGGAGGCCATAGTGACCTGGATTAAGAAGAAGATAGGACCGGGTCTATACAACGTTACTACCATTGAAGAAGCTGAACGCATGACCTCTGAACCTAAAGTTGCCTTGGGTTACTTGAACTCTTTGGTGGTATGATTAACCTTTCGCTCATTATATTTTTGCAGTGAATTGTTTTTTTTAAAGATTAGTGTGACTTGATGATCAAACAACATCTTCGGAACAGTAATTCAAAGTTTTGAGTTGAATAAGGTGATCAAGTTTTTGTATTATCATCGATTTGATCCAGCTCCATAAATAAACCCTTTCCTTAGATGATGTAATTTGGATTTGGCCTGTTATATGACAACAGGGTCCTGAGAGTGAGGAGCTGGCTGCAGCTTCACGTCTCCAAGATGATGTCAGCTTCTATCAAACCGTGAATCCTGATATTGCAAAGCATTTCCACTTAGACCCTCAAGTTAAACGCCCGGCTTTGGTCTTAAAAAAAAGGAGGCTGAAAAAATAAGCCACTTCGGTTAGTTTCTAGACAGATGCAATATTGATTGGAATCTCTATCCAACTTCTTAGAGGAAATTTTATACCAAAATTGTTCTATCATGCAGATGGTCAGTTTGTCAAGACTGCAATATCCGAGTTTGTATTTTCCAACAAGCTTCCATTGATTACGATATTTACTAGGGAAAGTGCTCCTTCAATTTTTGAAAGTGATGTTAAGAAACAGGTATGCATGTTATAGCATTTCCTTCTATGTGTGAACTCTTGGACCATACATACTGTGGATATAGTTTTCCTTTAGTTTTTCTACAATTATCTTATTGACACTTAAAGATAATTTTTCTTTAAGGTGTTGTTGTTTGCCTCATCAAACATTTCGGAGAAGTATATCCCATCATTCCATGAAGCGGCAAAATTTTTCAAAGGAAAGGTAACTAACATCAATAAATCACCTAGGATAAATTAAAGTATTCTTTAGTGTTGTATATTTTGATTTAATAAACGATTGAAGTGTGTGATTTCCGAAATTCTCATTTCTCTCTAGTCCTGTAGATGGGCAAAATGGCTGAAATAATGTCTTTGACAATAAAAAAAAAAACCAAAATCATCTAGTCCTGTAGATGATCACTTGGTAGCATCTTACAAATTCTTGTCTTGTATGCCTATTTTCAGCTCATCTTTGTTTATGTGCAAGTGGATAATGAAGATTTTGGAAGACCTGTTGCAGATTATTTTGGTGTCACCGGAGATGGTCCAAAGGTACGTTTCAAGTATCCTTTTTGATCCTTTCCCCTGCAGAATTTTTTTGGATGGAAGATGTGGGTGGAAGGGGTGAAGAAATGTATAATATTCTTATCTGCAATGAATTTGATGTTCACTATGGTGTTATTTGATTATCACGCAGATCCTTGCGTACACTGGAAACGAGGATAGTAGGAAGTTTGTCTTTGATGGAGATGTGACATTGGACAAAATTAAGGTTGTCTCTTTTTCTATGTCCCACTATATTTAGCTTGTACTTAATGTGATTGGTGGACAATATTTACTCTTCCAATCAACTTTTAAGAAGTAATACTTCAACATAACTTTAGGTTTCTACCATTCTGTAGGCTTTTGGGGAAGATTTTTTAGAAGACAAGCTTAAACCTTTCTATAAGTCCGACCCAATTCCTGAAACTGTAAGTATCATTTTCCCATTATCAACTTTGTCATTGTTGATTGTAATCTTGACTTATTTTTCTCTTTTTAGGTTTCTTTTTTTCTTTTAAATTAACCTGAACTTCTTTTTGATGCAGAATGATGGGGATGTGAAAATAGTTGTTGGCAATAACTTCAATGATATTGTTTTAGATGAGTCAAAGGATGTACTTCTTGAGGTATTGCTGGAACCCCAAATATGGAAAAAGGAAAAGGTTACTTTGTATTTCTTTAAACGTGCTTATTCCATCGAATGCTCTGAATACCAGATCTATGCACGTTGGTGTGGCCATTGCCAAACATCTATGCGGAATCGACTCTCTGATTATTGCTAAAATGGACGGGACAACAAACGAACATCCTAGGGCAAAGTTAAAATTAATATAAATCCGCCCTTCCACTTAAACTTTTAAATCCTCCATTTCAGTTCCTATATTGCACTTGAGCTTGAGTGGGACATATTTTTTTGTGCAGTCCGATGGGTTCCCAACGATTCTGTTCTTCCCAGCAGGAAACAAGAGTTTTGATCCTGTAAGTAGTATATTCTTCATGCATCAATCAAATATTAATTTTCTCCTTGTAAAAAAAGATTGAATGAAAATGTCTGAAATACGCAGATGACTGTGGACGCTGATAGAACCGTGGTGGCATTTTTTAAATTCCTCAAGAAACATGCTTCAATCCCTTTCAAGCTCCAAAAAGCAGTTTCAGCACCCAAAGGGGAACCAGAAACATTTCCAGAAACTAAGACTGGAGAATCCAAAGAGAGCAGCAATGGTGATTTGAAAGCTGAGTTGTAACTTATAAGATGATCAGATGAGGGAGTAAAATGAGGAATTTAGTTTTTAGTGACACCCTAAGTTATTGTGTTCCGTGAGGTTATGTATCAATAGATAAATTAAACAAGAGTGGGTGGGAAACTGGAATCCCAAAATTGTAATGATTCACAATCGTCCGGTCCACAGTCTTTTTTCCAGGATAAACAATTGGTTTTTCTTTCCCGCCTAAATTTATGTAAAATTAAAGAGTTTTACACAATTCATATATATATATATATATATATATATATATATATATATATATATATATATATATATATATATATATATTATCAATTAATTACATACATCTTCAATCCTTGATCATATAATATAATTTATTTATATACCCGAGTGTTACTGTTCTCTTCGTGATGATTCATTTTAGAAATGTAATGTGTATTTTTTAGGTAAAGTTTAGATATTATACCAAATGTAAGTTAAGTTGCATTATATTAATATCTTATAAAATATACGTTTCACCAATTATATTTTTTTCAAAGATCGTGTCACGCATAATAAAAACGACTGTTATTTTGATAATTTATATTTTAAGTTTAATTTTTAAAGGTATTAAATTTGAGTATTTATATTTACGGGATATATATATTAGTAATAGACTAAAATATTCTAATATATACTATTTTATAATCATAAGTCATAATCATCCCGACTATTAATATCTAATCTCTAAGTTTAATATATCTTATTAAATTAGTGATTTTAATTGATAAAAGATATATCACAAGTTTATTATATAAATCATACCTTTAAATTATAACAAAATTAATGAGAATTAAAAATAGAATAAACTCAACGATAACTTTATTAATATCGATTTCAGTTGTTGAAAATTTCAGTGACATGTACCATGCATCATATTTCTAAATTATTATTTTTTATAAAAATTCAACCATAAGATTTTACCAATTTAATCAAATAACATTTTTAATAATTACGTGATTTGTTAAAAAAAGCTAAAATAAAAATATTTGGATTTGAAAGAAAAAGATAGTTGTTGCTTTTTAAAAGCATGACTCATAGAATTTTCAATCATTTTCGTCTTCTTTAATCTATCATATGAACCCTTTACTTAATCATTAAGTCCTTTAAAACCCTCATCGAAAACCTCTCTTTACTTCTTGTTTGGCTCCGTTCCGTTCTCTCTTTAACTTCTGTCCGACGCATGCTCAAATTTTCACATGATTTCATTTTCACACCTAAATAAATTCCCGTTCACTGTATCTACCCCGTTTTTATCCCTTTCTCCTCTTAAATTCCTTCTCCCCAACCCTACTGCGTTTTGAAACTTCCTCCGTCTTCAAATATCCCCCCTTTTCAACTGCACTTTTTTAATTGTCAGATTGGTGAAATGGCGAAACTCGGATTTTTTCGTACCCTTGTTTTGTTCTTTCTTGTTGAACTCACCTTCGCTGCCTATTCGCCGGCACCCACGCCGTCACTCGGTGAAGACTCGTCACCGCTACTCGCTCCTACTCCAGTGAATGGATCCCCTGACTCAGCACCTTCAATCTCACCGGTGATGGCTGCTTCGCCACCGGCTCCATCTGCATCAGATATGGCGCCAGGAACCTCACCCGCGAGTTCTCCTGCTCCTTCTCCGTACGATGCAAGCGATATCGACCACGGAAACATCAATGCGAAAGGAAGCGAAGAGAAGGCCGGTGGTGGAGGAGGAATGAGCGGCGGAAAAAAGGCGGGAGTCGTGATTGCTGTGGTGGGGACAGCGTGTTTGGTTGGCTTCGGTGGATTGGTTTACAAGAAGAGACAAGATAATATCAGGAGAGCTCAGTACGGATACGCTGCAAGAAGGGAAATTATGTGAAGAAGATCAATACAGATTTAAGAACAAAGAGGTTTATATTCAAATTTATTTATCGTTTTGATTATAATTTGTTATTCTTTATAATGAATTTTCAACTATTTTTTTTCATGAGATAAAGATTATCGTAGTTGAAGTTTTGGTCCGTTTTGTACCGCCGTGCTCTGCATTTCAGTTATTGATAGTCATCGATGTCTATTTGTTTAATACTTTTTTATTATTTTTGGTCGGATATATCATCAGATCAAATTTATCAAACGAAACATAAACTAAACCGTTTAATTAAAGTTGTAGTACACTTTTGTCCCTTTAATTAAGAGTAAATTACACAAATAGTTTCTTAAAGTTTAAAATACTTGCATTTGGTCAAAATAACAGTCATCATCATTGTTTTATCAATTAATAATATTTTTTAGGTGAATAAAATTTTATAAAAGATGATGAATAATAATAGTGACAGTAACAGAAGAATTTTAGTATTCCGGACGATTATCAATTTAGAAGAAAGATAAATTTTGAAGTTTAAAATTTAATAAATTCTGCCTGTATCCCACCTGTTATAGATTCAGAGTTTGCAGTAAATTTTTGTTTTACTTTTGCAAACCTTGCAAGGCCACCAATCCATTGGAGTCTATTGGCTCGAGAGAAATGAACCATGCTTGTTTAACCTAAATGATGTTGGAATGTTATTGGATTTATATTAAAGAACCATAGGACCCGTCTGATGTGTACCGTGCTGCTCCGACCTACCCCGCTGCCATCTTCTTCTGCATCGTAGGATCTCAACTACGAACGAACTCCCACTCATTGCGACACCGAATCCAGAAAAAGTTGCAAGGAGAATCGATAGAATTGCTTGTATTTTCACCTGCACGCCACATAACATTACAATGAATCGATTTTATTCGATCATTTCGGTACAAGAATGAAGCAAAAGAGCCAAAAATACATCTGAAACATGAGCATAGATACTCTTACCGTCGAATAAAATATATGAGCAAAAGCAGCAACCAAAACAAATTGAATTGATGCATAAAGCCACACAAATCTTCGCGCCACTGAATACAAAGATTCAAGCAATATTTAATTCAGAAAATCTTAAGATAACAGTTGGTCCAACTATCCTAAAATGATGTAAAACTTCAGTGTGAACGGATTCTGTTTCTCTCTCTATATATATATATGTGCATAAATGTGTTAACCGAACTTCGGATAATTATATCATTGAAGTGTGCGAACCTACCCATTGTCGACGAAACCATGGATGAAAGAAGGCCTAGCACACATGAGAATGGAAGAGAGATAGCAATTGCACCAATGCCCATTTCTCCAACCTGAAGGCAACTGAATCATACACCGAGGATATAAAGTCGTAAAAAGGGGGAAATATATGAATGAGGAACTGCTTATCCTACCATAAGTTGCTCAAGAAAACAAAAATACGAAAGCATGCTGATGAAAACAAGAATAGGGACCTCATTCCAAACCCTGCAAACATCGAACCAAAATTGTTACTTCCCGAGCTCACAATATGGAAGAATAAGAAATACATTGCAGCAACAGGACAGACGATGGTAGAATTGAATTGGATGGAAAAACACATCAAGTTCGTGAAACAACCTTCCTCGTTTCAAGTATCCAATACCAGTTGAGACAAGTATCCTAAAAAGTCGAACGTACCTAAGACCATCTGTGAGGAGAAAATACAGAGAGTAGGTAAGATTATTTACCTGTATCCAGGAACATCAGGCTGAAGACCTCTAATAGCTGCTGCATTTCAAGTTCGAGTACTTTGTATTCGTAAAAGAGTGACGGGTAGGTTCTGCACCTCTTGCTTACACAAATCACAGGTCTTGTTCCCTTTGATGGTAAACCATTTCACAGCACAGTTGTTGAGTTAATCGAATGACGAAATTGGCCAAGAGGGGGGTGAATTGGCAATAAAAATTTTGTGGAAGCTTTTGCAGAAAATTGAAAGCAATTGCACAGCGATTTACAGTGGTTCGACTTTCTCAAACAAAGTCTACGTCCACTACCTTAGCTATCCACACTAAGGATTTTCCAACAAATTCACTAATTTGTTCTTTCTTTTGAGGCCAAAGAGATAACCTTACAATTCCCTCAAGAGTATACCCCAACTCTTGAGAACACTCTTTTCTCAAAGAGAAGATTACAAATTTGCAAACTTACAAGAAAACCTCACAAGGTAAGATGTTTGCACAATTCTAGAACAAAGAAAAGAACACTCAAAGATGAATACAATTGAGCACAAAAGTGTTCTTGAAAGCAAAATGAATATTGAATGAAAATGGGCTTGAAATGCTCAAACTTGAGGTTTGATGCTTTCTCTTTGATTCTCTCTTGATTCTAGTTGCTTGATGTTTCTTGTTATTGATCAATGGCTTCTAAGCTTGCTTAAATACACCTTGAATCACTTCTGAACGTTGGGGATAATTAGAGAAGATATTATAGCCGTTTTAGTGTGAAAACATTTATAAAACAGCTTGGACAGTGGGGGGAATCGGTTCCCTATCATAGGGAATCGGTTCCCTAAGTGTAAAATTCAAATATTTCGACCGTTGAACAGGGGGGAATCGTACCCCCTTGGGGGGAATCGGTTCCCTCCGAGCATTCTGGAAATCTCGGAGCCAAACCATTCAGGGGGGAATCGGTTCCTCCTATGGGGGGGAATCGGTTTCCTCTGAGTATTCTGGAATTTTTGGCTTTGAATTGGTTCGAAATACTTTGTAAATATTTTGAAATTGTTTATGATTAAAACTTAATTTTACACTTAAGTAAGGATCAAAAATGATTTTTGAAATATTTGGAGTAATGTTTTGATATTCGAATAGTTATATCGAATATACTTAGAAAATCATTTGGAAAATCTTAAAATCCATTTAACTTAATTTGTATATCGAAATATTAAAATGTTTCAACAATCTCCCCCTTTTTGATATAACAAAACATTTTAGTAATTTTAAGATTTTTGAAATCAAGTTTTGAAATTAGAAAATTAAAATTAGAAATTACTCCCCCTTACTTTAACACTTATTCTTCTCCCCCTTTTGTTAAATCAAAAAGACATTGTAAAACAAGGTTTTGTAAATCATTTAGCCAATTGATTATTAATTATAAGCTTAAGCTGCTAAGATCATAATCAAAAGAGAGGTTAGCCATTAGTTTCATAAATCATATTCATAAATAATGTGATATGGCAAAATTGGTCATATTGCTAATGATAATGTAAATGATGCAAAAATGAATAAAACACACCAAAATATAAGTTCACCCATTCATATATCCAAAATCCAACAATCCACAAATCAAACATATCAAAATGTTGAAACAATATTCATTTTGTTCAAAGTTTTAAAGCTAAACATAAATCAAGCATCCGGATCGGTAGGAGGAAAACGGGCTCGCATTGCGGCCATCTCGTGTGTGAGTTCATTTATACGAGCGTTGGTTGATTCATTGTTTGCACGCATCTCCCGAAGAATCTCTAATTGTTGAGCTCCCATTGTGGATAAATGAGACTCTATAGAGGAAAAACGCGAGTCCATGGTAGCGTATCGGTAATCGAATGTCTCCATAAAGGATTGAAAATATGGAGGCATTTGATGCGTTTGTTGTGCTTGCTCCTCGGGCTGCTCTTCGGGCTGATCAGGTTCTTCTTCAACTTCATCAATATCCCTCATTAATTGTTCAACTCGGGATCTTCGTCAGCTTCGGGTGGAGCTTGTGAAGAACTAGCTCCCGGAGTAGAAGAACGAACCCATTCACCGGTTTCTTTGTCCTTTACCCATCCCGCTCTCGTTAAGGAAAGAAGATTTATTTGTTTCTTAAGAGGAAAAACGGCATCTAGACTTACTCTAAGCCCAGCTTTGGAAAACAGATTACTCAAAAAGCAACCGTAAACTAGAGATGAACAGTGTTTCTGTTAGGAACAAGATTTACGGTTTCAACAATTTCAGCAAAAATAATCTGAGGTAGGTTAATTTTAATACGGTTTTCGAAACAATGTAACCACCAAAGATCCAAAGCTCTAAGAGTAGAATAACGACCTCCGGATGGTCGAAACCACCAAGAAATCATTGATGAAGAAAACGCTCATGTAGGTCTAAGACACTCGCACTATCTCTTCTTTTGTAACGAGAACCTAAAATTTGTTTTTCATTCGAGATACCATCATTATCTAATCCAAATGTATTGGCTATATATGCCGGGTCAATATATAAGAATTGTCCTAGGAGGTAGGAACGAATTCCTATAGTTTCTGTTTCAGCTTGGTTTTAACACATACAGCATTAGAGTAGAATATACGAACAAGTTGATGGTAAACGAGGGTTCAAGATCAAATAGTTTATCAAATTTCCATTCTTGTAAAATGGGAAGATATTTAAAATCGATAGCTAACATAGCTTGACGAGAAGGAATACGTTCTTCCCGGATTTTGTAAGAATCGAAATATGATAATACCAATATCGGTGATTTCTAGACCCAGGATGATTGAAACACGAATTTTGGATAGTCAAGTTAGGATCAGTGGGATTGGGATTAGAAATTGGAATAGAATGAGGATTTTGAGGTGGATTTGGTTGACGACTAGAACGCTAGATGAAGACCTAGGACGTTTAGGATTGACATGGTGAAGGAAATCGGAATAGATATATAACCTGCAATTTTAAAACAAGTGTATGCAATTCAATTAATCCCAAAACTCAAATGAGTCCTCAATATTTCAAGATTCTCTAAAACAATCCTAATGGGCAAAGTTTTTGAAAAACTTTTGAAAAATATGGTTTTGAGAAACATATATGTATAGTTTTTCATAATAACAATATAATTTGATCAAAACACAATAATTTGAAAAATAACATTTTTTTTTTATTTCGAAATTTTAAAAAATTTGAAAAATTCTTGTGTTTTTGATGAAATTAGTTGTAACATCTAGTTTCTAATCACTAAATAATCAATGCCCGATCACTATTTCAACCTAGAACTAATTGAAACTAATCCTATGTTCAAAAATAATGAAAAAGAGTTAGAAAAATTTACCTTGAAATATGAAGATTGAGTGGATTTAGATGTTGTTTGCACGATTTTAATGATTCCAACAGGTTTGGAAGATGATTTATGAAGCAAATTCCGATTAATATCGTTGATTTGAGGCAAAAATGGAGATTTGAGGGGTTTAGAGGGTGAAAACGGCGGAAGAAATAATAAAATGAGGGTTTGGGATTTTGGGGTTTTCTGTTCGATTTTAACAGATCCCCAGGGGGTATCGATTCCCCTGTGGGGGGAATCGGTTCCCCTTCAAAGGGGGAATCGATTCCCTCAGGGGGAGGAATCGATTCCCTCTGCACCAAAATGCTAAAATCCGAATTTTTAAGCACAAAATGCTAAATTAATCTTTTCTAGTGGTATTGGCAACTCATATATCAAACATTATTATGTTCAAATAATTAAATTAATCTTTAATTGATTTTGAACATAAAATTAATTTTCATTAAGAATCACAAACTCCCCCTAACTATAGCAAGAATGCAATCAAAAAATATAAGCATTTTCAAGATTTATTAAAAGTGCTAAAATTATTTTAAACACTAAGTGAAGATAGATTGGTCAAACCTAATTCTCTCCTAAGTGTCCAAAATCTTTCCTTGTCTAAGGGTTTTGTAAAGATATCCGCTAATTGGTGCAAAGTATCAACAAATTCTAGAACTACATCTTCCTTAGTGACATGGTCTCTAATGAAGTGATGTCTTATTTCAATGTGCTTAGTTCTAGAGTGTTGGATGGGATTTTTAGTGAGACAAATAGCACTAGTATTGTCACACTTGATAGGAATAGTACCTACTTCAATTCCATAATCAAAAAGTTGTTGTTTCATCCATAAAACTTGTGCACAACAACTACCAGCTGAAATGTATTCAGCTTCAGTGGTAGATAATGCAACACAATTTTGTTTCTTGAAAACCAAGAAATCAGCATATTTCCAAGGAATTGGCAAGTACCGGAGGTGCTTTTCCTATCTAATTTGCATCCTCCATAATCCGCATCAGAAAAAGCATGCAAGCTAAAACTAGAGTCTCTAGGATACCAAAGTCCTAAACTAGGAGTGTCCTTAAGGTATCTAAAGATTCTCTTAACAGCTAGTAAATGTGATTCCTTAGGACATGATTGAAATCTAGCACATAAGCAAACACTAAACATAATGTCCGGTCTACTTGCAGTTAGATAAAGCAAAGAGCCAATCATTGACCTATATAATTAACATCTACACATTTACCTCCTTCATCTAAGTCAAGCTTTGTTGAAGAGCTCATTGGAGTGTTATGAGTTTCCATTTTCCAGTCCAAACTTCTTGAGCATATCTTTGACGTACTTAGCTTGATTAATGAAGATGCCATCTTTTCTTTGCTTGATTTGAAGTCCCAAGAAAAATGAGAGCTCCCCCATCATGCTCATCTCAAATTCACTTTGCATTAGCTTAGAAAATTCTTGACAAAGAACATCATTAGTAGAACCAAAATTATATCAT